AGACAATACCTTTATGCGCCTGTGCGTGCGTGTGCGTTAAAATGCGGATAGATTGGAGACAAAAAAAGCGAAACTAAAGCAAATGAGTGATTGTTCTCTACATTATTTTTGTAAAATAATAATCCACTAACCTTGGCCGAAGCGGTAGGTATAAGTATTTCCAATTCCGCCATTCACGAGACAAAAATCACACTCACTTAGGTAAGTATATTTTAAGTCCGTCACGTCATATTGGCCGGATAATATCGTGTTGAGTTTTATTGATCGCTGCGGTCGATCTCACGGTGTCGTGTCGAGGTCGCCACAATGTTGGCGTTGGGAACTAGTAACTATTGTTTTATCAAGACTCCTGTAAAGTCAATATTCTGACCTTGATTAGTAGGTATTAATTAATGCCTATCCTGTGTATCGACTTATTAATATCTACTATACCCAGTTCCTTTCTGTCTGTCATTAATCAAAGTCAATTTAGAAATACGAGTTCATATTGGTTACGCGCACCGACGATCGCCAAACGGTTAGAGTACCTTCTGTACTCGCCACTGCCCGGTGAAGCTGGAAAAGCTCCTCAAGCTACCAGCGTGCGTCCCTTAAAAAAAAAAAGTCATATTATAAAATACCTAGGAAATGATGATAAATCTAAGTTGGAATTTTCAGGACTTGATCTAGGTAGTTACTAGGTAGTAGATCTGATAATAGTTATCATCGAATACTAAGTTTATAATTGCAACCTAATGTTCAATATCTTTTCTAATAATTGCTCTGGGCAGATTGTAGATCAATTGAACTTTGTCTATTGTTAGGGCAAATTACTCTCCTGCAGTCAATAGCCACGACTTTTGTCTGGGCAATTATTTTATGCTTTAGTGCTATGGGCATAAGGTATTGACAAGGCGTGAGTCAGAGGCTATCACGAATTTAAAGGGCATTGCCAACTTCATGTCTAATCTATACCTATGTCCGCTATTATTTATCTACGGGATAACTGCGACCTTTTTGGACGAAAGGTCTCATAATATCTGTGTATTACGAATATGCAGTTCTATAGTGTCTCTATGCAGTTTCAGTCTAGTGGAATTCAGTTTATCAGACAAAGGATATCGTCCATCCCTTAAAAATCATTATATTTTGGTTAATTACTCAACATTTACGAAAGTATAGTTGAATAAAAGTGAGTAGGTAGTAATTACTTACAGAAAAAGCTTTGCAAGAATGAAACGGTATTTTCAGGATTGCCAAATTTTTTCCTAGAATTTTTTTTTCATAATTATCAATATCTGGAACAAATTTGTGCTGCCGTTTAGTGCTTTTGATTAAACGGTAGATTCGTTATAACAATTACCTTCCGTTAATTATAATGGGCATGAATTATCGTGGATCATTGTGCCCGCCAGGATGCGGATCTCGCCCGTCACTTCTCCAAGGTTCGTTCGACACACGATCCAGCCTTTCTAAACTTAATTTTGTTACTGATTCAGTTTAGTAACATTTGCATGCGGTGCAGCTGCGTGCTATGTAGGTATCTTGTCTGCACATACGACAACTAAAAGTAAGGACACTTTCTAAAACATTAGTCAATTTTATTAGTTTGAGGAACAAGTATTTTAGTGAAATTTCGCGACACTTTTAACGACTTGGTGATGTCTAACAAGATTTGATTACCTTTTTTATTACATCTACTCAATTATCATTACAATCGAAGGAAATAGAGATGTTGTTAGGTCCATGTCGAATTAACAATGTTAGATAATAATTTGACGAAATCCTTGACTAATTAAGTAGCGTGAATAAAGAGTCTTGGGTCTTGTAAGTCCCACGAGGACTTTCGTTTCCTTGTCGTTTCATAACTGGGTCAAAGCGGTAGCCGGTGGAACAATTATAATTATATTAAATAAGTATTACAGATATCATCATCACACACATTGTTTTGTTCATTTAATTATAAGCCGCAAACCACAAACATTAAGGTTTCGAAACAATGTGTAAATGTATGTCACCTTATACACTAACATTTTTGTAGAGACGCATTTTTGTTTTATTCAATCGGGGTAGGGATCTTCGTAAATTATTATTCGTATTCGTTAGTAAAAGTAAAAAGTAACGCGTAAGTAGGTATTGTATACTTAAATAAATAAAAACACGCGTTTCTTTATACTTTTACTAATTCAATGTTCGTCTGATTTTCGTTACTTTAAACCATTTTTGTTGATAATTAATAACAAATCCGTATCACAATTTTAGCAGCGGTATGTGGGCCACATTACACAACTAGAATAATTCCTCAGTTGATTGATTAAAGCGAACTCGTGCGTGAGATAAAATACTTTGTTGGTTTTTTCAGATCAAACGATTCGCAAAAGATAACTAATTAACCAGATTTATAGAGCAAAGTGTAGATAAAGAAAAAAATTGAACCTAGAATATTAGACACACTCATTATTTGGTTGCGGCCGTCTTTTTTGACTCTTCATTAATTGAAGCAACGGCTTTTTTTAGAGAGCTCCTTACAGTTAATGTATGATTACTTATTGTATCTTCTCAAATCTTATACCTACGAGTATTCCAAATTAAAACCAACTACTTTACACAAGCAGTTGCCTTTATTAAAGTAATATAAGAGGGTACCCACACGTCACATTATTTTTCCCAAGACATTAAGGTAAGTCCCCAAATGACTGTGAATTTTATCAGGTAACCTAGCTTATCATACAACTGAAGGGTCATCTTACATTTCGTCAAAATTAAATGAAATACGCCTACATAATATTATTATGATGATGAGCCATTGGTCATGCAACAAGAGCTTCTAACTAAATTGCCAACATTCTATTAGTGGCAATAAGCTCCGTTAACTGAGAGATACTCAATTACGGACATTATTACCACCACATAAGAACTGCAGGTTATTTTAAATGAGCCAAGATGAATGCGTCAAATGTACAGTTAGCGGCACATCAGACTATTCATTTTTATTTCCAAATCGCCCCTATTACCACAGCTATTAGATACTAACTACATATGAAGCTACAAAGTTTACGTTGATATGTTGTCGACTGTACAATAAGATTTTGATATTAAATATAATTTATCACTCACGCCTACTACACTAACGATATAAAACACAGTTTAAGTAACATAAATGCTCATTTCTTTAGCTCATTAGAGATTCGCGTCGGCATTTCAAACTATAGATGACCCACGCTGAACTGTCCCACCAAACTCAATGACAGGGGGCGCTACCATCGTTCAACTATATGGTTTCCAACATGGCAAAAATCGGAACCAGCGATCCGGTATAGACGGTGGCGCCCCGCTGTCAATGTCATGGACAGGACAGTTCAGTATTTTGGAACTATAAACTGTTTTTTTGTTTTGCGACATGTGACGAATTATAGAAAAGTCATATTTATTTTATGGGACTATTTGAGATAAACGTAGGTTGTAGATATCTTGCAAATTGGTCAACTGTTTCTATTTATTTCCATAGAAAATCAACCGCGTACCTTAGTTTAGCATTATTTATGTAGCCATTACCTATAAGTAGTACCAGAAATTTACTTCGTGAAAGTAAATCTGCTCCGGTTGTGGGCCCATTATGAACTAAACGTTACTTAACAGAAATAGTTCGATCGCATTGATCATTAAGTATAACATTATAATGCTCGGATGCCACTCGTGCGCATTTCACAACTCAATCCGAGACACTGTTACTGCATGGTCAGATGTAACTACAGGTGTTGTGAGAAACGTTCCATGCTCTTATTACATGTCTTCTCCCTTATTTGGAGCCAAGGAATGGCTCACTGACCTTTGAAGCACGTATGAGTAGCTCGTTGCGTAAATGAACTAAAAAGTAACACACTTTTGACTCTTAAAGGGTTTTGATTGAAACTAATTACTAAAAAGACAGCTGTTAACCATTAATATTATCATTGTTAAAGATAATGTATTTACTTCATTGAAAAAGAGTTAATTGTTTAGTCGTGATGCGGTCTCGTTCTTATTGTTGAATCCAAGGCGAATCTCGTAATTAATATAGAGCGCAATCACCGAAGGCTGGCGGAGAATAAATTCCTACTTAGGTATATCGGCTTCGTTGATTGGCGATTGAGTTACATAATAAAGGTAGTAATATCAAAACGTACATTCAAATGAATCATCTTTTCCAATAGAAACAATGCCTAAGTAGGTACTTAAATTGACACTGATGACTACATCAGTCATCAGTGTACTAACCAATGCCCCTTCCCTGACACAAGTTTTTAGACAAATAATAAGAATAATAATAAATCTTTGGACAATTTCACACAGCGCCAGCTAGCCCCAAAGTAAGCAACTTAATGCTTGTGTTATGGGTGCTAGCTTAACAAATAAAAAAATACTTACATATTACCATTATGTTAGGGAAAAGGTGGAAAGTTTAAAGGAGTTACGGATCTTAGAGAAGAGTTCCGAGAAAAAGCCCAACATAGATACCCTCACAAATGACCTCTTGTCAGGATGCGATCTCTTCCAGTCAACTTAATTCAAGATATAAAGTTAATTTTATTAGGTTTTATTTAGTCAATGAACGGAGAATTTGTAGGACAATGTCAAGTTGAGTCGCGGCCACGGCCTTCTTAATAATATGCATTGTCTACTGTTGCCCAATAAATTAGTTCTAGTGACAAAATAAACTTAAGACACTGGTAGCCATCATCAGACGAGGAATTCCATTCTGGTCCCTAAAGTGAGAATTTAAGGTGTACCTACCTCTGTACCATAAAAAAGCATTAATTTATTTTTTGGTCAAATGTTGACAAAAGCGTTTCAGTCTGTGTTTCAGTTAAAGCATTTAGGCTGAGTTGCATCACCTAACTTTAATCGTAACTATAACGACAACCAGTGCTTTTTGGAATGGATTTTGACTGATTTTTGACATTTTTAAAAGTAGGTAAGATGGTGCAACCCAGCCTTAATGCGTAATATGGATGATTAACAATAATTTTGTTTTGTTTCAGTTATACCAACAATAGTAACACCAATTACAATATCGCCGAATGGAAATAGTCCAGAAATCAAAATGATAGGTGGAATGATGGTTGACGTACAAAAGGGGTTCTCCCCAATGGTTCCAAAAACAGTTGAACCAACTAAAACAACGATTGGGAAGCGAAAACTAAGTACCAACTCTACAAAACTTTCCATAAATGAAAGGTACAGACGATTAATCCCATACATGACGTTTTATTATGCAAACGATTTAGTAACGCCGACTACCGAAGGACACGCGAAGAATGTGGAAGTTGAAAAAGCAGAGATCATAGAAGCAAAAACTATAGAACACCGTCAACCTAAAAAAATAGTATACTCATCAAATCGAAATATTCCACTATACCAAGGAAATAGATTAACGCAATATAACATTGCCTCTGCGAATCCAACGAAATTATTATACAAAGAAATTCCTGTATACCAGAATCCACCAAAAAATACACAAAATTACAATCCTCTTCTATCAGAGCATAGACTTGTAACGGCTAATGAAAACTTTGAATTCGATAGATTCCCACAAAAACAAATTGTTAAATCGCCAAGTGCTCCATTTTCTCTTCCTACAAGAAGACCTTATTTGAGTTCTTTTAACAATAATGACGATTCAGGAAATATTCGTTACTATTACACAGAAAAAGAACATACTCCAAAATATAAGCTGGTACCGTATGAGCAAACACCACCCGTAAAAGTGCATCCTCACAATGAACAACATGTTTATACACCACCCAAGTCTCCTACCCCAGTTCCAGTGATGTTGCCCAAAGAACAAGTTTACATAAAGCCAAGGCCAGTTCGGCCGCAGTACTTTTACGACGTTCAACAATCTACAGCTCCAAGAAAGCAGCCATCGATTGTTTCAGAGAGCTATTATGAAAGACGGCCCCCTCAAGCGCCGGTCGCTCAACCTATCATTGAGAGTGGGTTTAAGCCTATCGTTAGTCACGTGATAACAACCGAAGCACCTGTATACACATCAAGTTTGCCAGAAGAATCGATTCGCCACTTCGAATCCGAGAAACAACAAACAGTGCAAGTTGTTGAGGCGCCGCCGGCTGTTCCTGATGTTTCGGACTACAAACAAAATTATTATCAATATGTTGTTGACCAACCTACTTATAAGCCCCAAGAACACGTACCACCAAATACGGTGACGCTCAGTGATCTTCTGAATTCTCTGCAATTGAACAAATCTATTCCAAAGCCCATTACAAAAGAAAACGTGGGAGCCTCAATAAGAACACTGATTCAGGTATTGAATGCCTTGAGAGCAGCTGCACCCCAGGAAGACTTCGACGATATAGTCCAAAGTACGCCTAAACCATTCATACCGCCAAACAAAGTCTTGGAACTAACAAAACCCATAGTAGACGTTACACCAGCGCCTGTCGTCAATGATGACGCAGATTTTCATGAGGAATCCTACCTCGCTCCAGTAAATCCACCATCTCAACACATTGACGGTAAGCTAGCTGCTTTTTCGTACATATTTATTTTTATTTATTCAAAAATTGTTTGCGCAATAACATTTTATAAACTTACACATTACCTAGCTATTAATAGCCTACCTAATTTTACACAAAGGGCTTACCTAAGTAAGGATAACCTTCTAACCCCTCCGAATCCCACCAACTCCCATGTCAATTACTTAACTTTCAATAATATTTCGTGCTAAATATCAGCTTTATGTTCTTAAACAAACCGTTAAAAAATATAAAAAAACTTACCATCACTTTTTCATATTTTCAGAGTTCTCGTCAACTGGCAGCACCAGCCAAAGGTTTCCCCTGCGCGTAGAGTCCGACGACGAGGGTGGCACCCCTGGTAGACCCGGCGTGGACTACCCAATCCTCACCACCATCCCTCAAACAGCCTTCGACTGTAAGACTCAGAGGTATAAGGGCTTCTTCGCTGATCCGGAGACACGGTGCCAGGTATGTAATGATAAATGTTAGTGACACTTATTTTACTATTACACTCAACGAATACAGCTGGCCATTTAGAATTCATTTTGTAGAGTTTTACAACCTTATGATTCAAGCTCTTCAGTAAAAAGGCGTATAGCTAAATTATACGCACTCTATTCACGGGTAAACTACCTATTACACAAATAGATATCCATAAACTTTCACTAGTTAGGTATTTAATGATTTTATCAACGTCAATTAATCACACCACACTTTATGTGAAGTTTCGTTGAATTTGAAGTGCAATTAATTCAGTCCAATCTACTCGTTACTAAAGCAGAAAAAACTGGAACATTTTGTTGGCAAATAAAACTGATTGAGCTATTATTGAACCAGATATTTCTGTAGGCGTAACATCTGCAAGTTGTGAAATGACCCGATCTTAGGTTGTAAACATGTATTACACCACTCATCACCTCTTTTGGTAGTTGAAAAGTATACCTACCTACACTACACTACCACTTATGCCATTATGTTGTCCAGCGTTTTGTTTTTTAAACACTAATTATATGAGATCACCAGCCAATCGACTATGAATGAGCCAAAGAACTCAAAGAAATCAATTCGCGACTCTTTCTTAATATGCAAAGGAATGTAATAAAAGTCAATTGACCAACTTTTTTTATTTCAAAGCTACCAAAATCATCATTCATTAAAAAATCTGTTTCATCGCTAATATCAAGTGTTTTTTTTTATGAATCCAAGACTCCGGACATTGGTTTTGTTTGTTGGTGACAAGTGACAACTACTGCCTATCGTTACTTTACTATGAATTTTATTGTATTTATGGTTTCAGGTATGGCACTACTGCGACTTAAACGGCGGCCAAGCGTCGTTCCTGTGTCCCAACGGGACGATCTTCTCCCAAGCAGCGCTGACGTGCGACTGGTGGTTCAACGTGCGATGCGCGTCCACGACGCAGCTGTATGTGCTAAATGAGAGCCTCTACAAGTACATCTTGCCGCACTCGCCCAAGTTCCCTGAGGATTATAGCGGCCCTTTGGTGGATAAGTGAGTGTATTTGTGAATTAGTTTAACTAAAGACTGGTCCGTGAGCACGTAGAATCCCGTCCAATGACCCCAAGCTGCCCATCCTTGTCGCTCGCACGTAATTATGTATTATGTTGCTGTCGCGCTCGCACACTCACTGCGGGCGCGCGTCGCACCGTCGCGACAGCAATATAATTACACGCGAGCGATAAGGATGGGTAGCTTGGGGTCATTGGACGGGATTCTACGTGCTCACGGACCAGGCTTTACCTAATTATCTGATTCTGTACTACCTACTTACAAGTAAGGCCAAGTGACCAATTTTTTTAATTCTTATCTTCTAATAAAGTATAATAAACTTTTCATATCAAATTCATGCTTGAGTAGAAGATGAACGAGCACGCTCAAGCTGTTATTATCAAAATCTCAATTCAGTAACTGGATCTTGGTCTCTACGACTGAATATGCCAGACTGTCTCACACGGCTTACTGGTAGATCGAATTTCTTATTGGCCTTCATAATAGACAATTTAACTAGGTCTTAAGTTCGAATTGTTGAATTGCAAGCGATAAAGCGCAGACCTAGTGCCGATTGTTTGTCAATGTTAAAGAAGTTTAAAAAGTCAATTTTAAAAAAAAACTAGTAGATTGGATGCTTCGTTTTTAAGCAACGTAATCAACAATTTCTTTTCCAAACTCCAGATACCTGACATTGAAGTTCAAAGAGATGGAGGAGCAGTTCAGAAAGAACAAGAACAAGCAGAGCGCCTCTGACAAAATGGACTCCGGCGAAGAAAGTTCTTCTGAAGACTCCAGCGAGGCTGAAACTGAGAGCAGCAGTGAGGCAGCAGTAGACATGGCGAAGACGGTTGCAGTTAGTGAGGCCAGCGTCATCGTGCAGTCACCAGGCGCCAGCGGCAATGTTGAGAGACTACAAGATTGATTGCTTTTACAAAACGTGACGTCACAATCGTGGACCTCTGTAATGCGAATTCCGTATTTTCTGTTTCTGTCTGTGAATTTAGCAGTATGTGTGAGATAACCTTTTGCACGCACAATGGTTAAGTGCGGTAAAGCCCAGCTAAATTATTTTCCTCTATCGTTGGTAATTTTTTACACAGCGACATCTAGTCCCCAAATTAAGCAAAATTTGTACTATGGATATCCCAAGCAAACATAGTCATACATAACTTCTTTTCTGTAAATACATATTATACATAGAAACTATCCATATCATAGAAATGTAAAGTAAGATTTCACAGCATCTGGCGATGGCGAAGTGGCAAATTGGCAAAGTTCTCAACCACTGCTAAATCAGTCTGATAGATTCGAAAATACGGATATCGTCTTACGGAATCGTCCTTAGCCTTTTAACTCAAGTTTTACCCAGTATACTGTGATAGCTGCCTCTTTGGACAGCGGCGCGTTTGCGTTAGTACACCTAACGTGTGGAGAGATTCCGCAAGATACCTTTAGAGCGTGAAGGTCGAATTAAAATATTTTAGCCATTTTAATTTCGCATGTAGTGACGTATGGCTAATTTTGATTAAGGAATTAAACTTGCCATATTTTGCCATGTTTAATTCGGTTTAGTGTATGTAGGTTATGAGTGGTTTCTTAAAATAGAACAGGATGCGTATTTTAGAAACTATCCGATTTCTAATTCGCATTTAAACTCATTCGTATGCGAATTAGAATTCTAACGGTTCAAAAATACACCTACAGTCTAAATTAATTTATATTAGATTAATTTATGATGATAGTGATATTTGTGCAATGTGTAAATAGTGTGTCTTCTTTTGTTTCTGCCATTAGATCTTCAATGTTTTAATTATAATGATAGGAAAGTGCAATAAATTATTCCATATAATTTGGTTGTATTGATTTATTTTTAGCGAATAATATGTTGTCTTAAAAGAAACACTTATATCCACTGATTATTCCTTATGTAGGTACTTAATTGAATTATGTACAGCTTTAGACAATTAGTTTTCTACACGAATATAAGATAGACGAAATGTTTTGACTTGATAAAGTTACATTGTTTGAGATATTTAAATATTAATTTAAAAAAGGTAAACGAAATTAATAGAAGAAAAAATAACGTAATTTGAAAATTATTATAACAAAATAAGCGTATATGAATAACGTCAAGTGTACTGCTAACTATACGTAAACGATTACTGCAGTTATATCTGTAGCTACATTCTTAGATTGGGACTTATATAACACCAAGAAATTAACTATATTAACTAGAAGTAATAATTATGCGTTCACTTACATCGATAATAATACTGATACGTTATGAATGACTGTTTTGATGAGACTCAGAGACATTATTCTATACGTAAAATTAAGGAATTGAATAATTAATATGAGAAATTACAGAATGGATGACTACATTTAATCAAATTTGGACCATTAAAAGCTAAAGTAGGTACCTATCTATAGTGCAATTCGCAGCATAATAGTTATACAAAAATATAATTTTGGGATGAAACAATTCTTAGACATAGTTAAAATGATACCTCTTCGTAATTACACGTGTTGATTTTTTTTTCATTAAATTTTGAACACGCATTGATTCCAAGATTCAACCTATCTAAGACTTTTTGTTCTATTTACACCGTATGTACAATCAGACACGTCTCCGTAGTAAACGTCATTCAATCACAAGCTGTTGCCATTCAGTCTTTGCGTCGCATTCCTTTAATTTAGGTACAGTCATCGATCTCTAATCTTATTCCATGACACTGCTTAGATGTACACAGCGATACAATAAGTTTACAAGTAATTAATGTTCTATTACAGCGAACATCATCACATCTTATTAACAGCGAAATGTACTCATTAAGTTCTGAATATAACTACACGTAACACAAATATCAATAGTAGCGTCATACGACACATTCGCTAATTTCCATCCGATATTGCACAGAACAGAGTCACGTTTATTAAATGTATGCTAAGCGTAATGAGTTACGTTATGTAAGTCAACATAACAAAAACACGCCAACAAAAATAAGCCTAAAAGCTTATTATAATCTATAGGTAAGTCCCCACAGGAATAGCCTATGTGTTTTACCCTGTTAGTTAAAACAGCAACGTTTTTTCTACCATACTTACCCATAAAGAACAATAAATAAATGCACAAAAACGTGCGAATAAAATATATAATATGTAATACGACATCCAAATATAAATGCAAAACGCGTCAATATAATGACGCACCTACGATACGTACACTTAACAACGAGTCGTTAGTCAATGCAGGGGTCGGGTGGCGCCTCGGTGTGTCGTGTCGCGTCGCTTTGTGCTCGCCGCTCAGTGCTTGAGCAGCAGCGCGGCGTGCTTGAGGCGCAGGTGCGAGCGCAGCGTGTCGATGCGGCTGTAGGTGGCGGGGCAGTAGGGGCACAGCGAGCGCTGCGCCGTGTGCGAGTGGAAGTGGTGCCAGCGGTTGGACACCTCCTTGCCGCACGACTTGCAGCGCCACAGCGCCGCGCTCTCCGCCGCCGCCACAAACATGCTGTGGTACGAGTACTGCGGCGCGGGCGGCAGCCGCGCGCGCTCTGCAACAACCCGCCACCCCACGTCACGACCTCGACGACAGGGTTGCCAACTCTACGTATTTTTACGTAGATCTACGTATTTTAAGCCTTCCTCGCAAACCTACGAACTTTAGTCCCAGAATCTACGTATTTTCTATCAAATTTGCAAAATAGACTGAATGGGCACCGTTTCCTTTACTTTCGCGAAAAAGTTCGATCATGGTTCCGATCACGGTTATTTGGCATGTAGCAAAAGTCGGAACTAATGTTATTTTGACATTTCCCCATAGAAAAAATACTGGATGACCCACGCTGAACTGTCCCGCCAAACTCAATGACAGGGGGGCGCTACCATCGTTCAACTTTATGGTTTCCAACATGGCAAATATCGGAACCAGCGATTCGGTATTGACGGTGGCGCCCCGCTGTCAATGTCATCGATAGGACAGTTCAGTATTTTTGAACTATACAGCGCCCCCCTGTAAATGTCATTAAAGAGCCTTGATCTGTGAAATTTAAAATGTGACGTGACGTGACAGTGTGTGTAAACCGTCAAACGGTCAAAGTGAATATTCACTATAAAATATTTCGAACTAAGATTTTGCTAAGATTTCGAAGGTGTTGTTTTTCAACTTCTTAGCAACAAATGTATAATTATGTATAAATTTAATTTGTCTGAAAATGATACACAATAAATGTGTACTTTACTACTTTTAGGGTAATATAAATTGTCGTTTTATTACTTTTACCTACCCCTACTCTCTTCATTTCACTCAGAAAAAAAAGTACGTAGATCTAAGTATTTTCTATATGGAAATTGTACCATTTCAACGTAATTTTCTAATCTGTCCTAAGACTTTTTCAAAATCCGGGTTGGCAACACTGCACGACGAGCCAACGATTACGATACGCATTCGCCGCGCAACAACTAAAGCCGCGGGAGCCGATCCCTCACGCGACGCTCGACGAGCGCCGCCTACGAGGTGAGCCAAACGGCCGTGCACAGGTTAAGTACGCAACACTTGCGGGTGGGTGCGGAGCGTGTGACGCGCACAACTGAAACTACACGGATTGTAACATACCACAATTTAATGTAAAAATTAGTAATAAATACAACAGATAAATGCAGGAGTTTGCAACATGTTAAAATTGCATTACATAACATCAAACAATGTGAAAAAAATTGCATTAACTGCTTGCATAAAACAAAATTATTTAAATTAAACTTTTAACGGAGGCATCAAACCAAGACAAACAAAATATTCATAAACAACAAATCGTTCATAAAATTTTATGTATAATAATATAACAAGACTAATAAGTCAGCTGTTAGGTACACGATTTGACACCCCCTCCCTATTAGTAATACACTATTGTGATATACGACACTATAACAAATTGGCTAATGTTACAAAGATGAAACAAAATAAACATAACTAGACCATTGCTATCCTGAAAACAACCATAGAGCTAATCCTGCACTCCATTGATTTCAAATGATAAGATCACATCTTGTGATATTAATGTAAATTTTAATATACAATAAATTGGAATATTCAATAGATTGGCCAAATAAGTGACTAGGTCCACAAGACCCCAATTTCATAAGACTAAATTTAGTAATTCGTTAACCTTATGTATAAATTCCATATGGCATAAAGTTAGCTTTCATTAAGTCCAATTACGTGGTCACCATACAATTATTAAGTTGCATACTTTCTGAAAGCCGAAAAGAGATCAAAGGGAGATATTTTCTGAGCCAAACGATGTGATACTCCAAAATATTCTGGCCAGACACTATCAAGTATCCTAACCTAAAATATCTAAAATAATATTCTATGTTTACTAATCAATCAATTTGCTATTAGCAAATACAATATTAAAAATTGGTCTCGAGTGATAGTAATATAAAATGCATTCACGATTAGATGAAGCGCCGGCCTGCCGCGCCATGGAGGTATGGAACCCTACCGGATAGCTATGATCTATTCCAACAATAGACTTCAACTTGCGCGATAATAAATTATTAAATAGTACATAACTATTACGATTGGCAGAGGTAAACAAGCTAATTCTTAATATTACCAGCTATAAAACCTGTACATCACCGTAACCCAAACTGTTTCACTAGGTAGATATAGAAATTAGGAGTAGTTCACTTAGGTAAATACAAATAGGTAGTAGTTACTCTCATCAATGACATTATATTATATACTTTTAAAATATCCTTTAGTTTGGTTACGTAATTAAATAACTAGTAATATTGCACTGAGTATGAAATGCTATCAAATAATAAGCGCCCACATTACAATAAACAGTATAAAAATCTTTAATATTCTTAAAAGTAAATATAAAATCTTTGTGGAAGTAGTATTATGTATGTTTGGTGACTTTATAATGATATTTTACAGAGATGCGGAGCTTAGTGCTTACATTACAAGTGGGCCCCTATATTCAATAGACAATTGTAAAATCTATCTATGAGATATGACTATTTCAAAAATTGCACATGTGAATTGCATTTTCACAGCTAATAAACAGCGCTAGCGCCACAACTTAGTTATGGAAACGATCACGGATTACTATTCGGATGCGGTAGTCTCTTACACCGTTACGAACGTTTATATTTGGTTGACAATTCTCAGTTTTATTTAAACGTGGTCTTAGCGTATTTTTATACTAGTAAATTTGAAGATCTCAGAAAAAATGAAGTTAAAAATCTCGAGTGATACTGTAATCTCTAGGCGTTCACGATCCGCGCTATGTTACCCGTTGACCAGACAGATGCGACCTCATTGGATGCTAGATGTCTTACATTTTAATTAATGCAAAGTAACTAATCATTAAAACATTAATAATATTATAATAGGAGTCGAATCGTAGCGTGTTAACACTCTGGTTCTAGCACCATTCCATTTTATCACATTTCAGTTACCGTACCACTCTAAAGTGTTTTAGCTAAAAATGTAACAATCTTAAATCTTAATTGAAAATACATACATAAACGCTAGGTTAGTCCCAATCGTAGAATGCCAATATTAGTTACTAAATGCGCAACCTCGAAACGTTCCATCCTATCTTATAGTAATTGAAAGAGGTCTCAAGACCCCAGCACCGATCGCGGGGGCGCGCGCCCGTCCACATTAACACCTACCAACGATAAAATAAAAACACGTCAACATCCGTATCTAACGACAACTGAACATAAACGAAACCAATGTTACTATAATTACGATGAATCAATAAAAACAAACAACACTAATAAATCATATTATATAGGTATATAAATATATTAAAGTATATTAAATCAGACAATAGAATATCTAAGTATAAAAAAAACAATCTCCGTAAATAGATCCACTAGTCTAGTATAAAAATCTTTTCGTATGTTTCCTTAGGCGCTACCCATAATACATCACAAATCCTTAATAAAATTATCCATCGTGCAAAGGCCTCATGGAGTTACAAATGCATCTACACTGAGATTCAGTCAATATTTATATGTCGTTGACCAACGACAGATCACAATCTCTTGCCAGTCCTCAAATTCCTTCTCTGATGTCGTTCCGAACCACCCGTACGATGTACATAATAACATAAATACAATTAGCTACAGGAAACTTAGAATTTCCTATCTAATGAATAAATATAACAAGAAAATGTGGGCCCGTATCGGGGCCACGGCTAGTAACCAGCATCACTTCGCGGTCGCACCGCTACTCAATAAATGTATAATTCTTAAATAGCTTAAGATTCCTATCGATACAATATAAAAAAATAATATGGTAATAAAATTAACATCATATTATTGCTTTTGCCCGTTCCCGTATAGCGATTGGTATAGAAAAAATTTGCTTACCTACTTACATACGCTTCGAGTCATCGTTTCAGTAACATCGACATATTAATAGTTCCTGACGCGGAATCATATACAAGGTCACACTGGGGCAAGTCAAACGCACAACCGAGACAATACTAAACGAGTCGCCGCGGGGGCGAGCTACTTAAGATAGGCCCGTTTAAGTAATAGCACTTCAGCTTAATCCTAAATAGGAAGCGGTTTCGACGCGAGACGGTCTGTTAAAATTTTGACACATCAACAAGGACAGTCTGGCCTGGCGGGGCTCGTGCTCACGGAGCGTCGAGGCCGAGCCAGTAGAAGGTGGATCAGTCGAAGCCCGCGTCGAGGTGGTTGGCGAACAGCGGCGCGTGGGGTGGCGCAGGCGGCGCGGGCGGCTCGAACTTGCGCGTGTCGGGATTGTAGGCGGGGTGCTTGAACTTGCAGTGCGTGCGCAGATTGTCGGAGCGCGTGTACGTGGCGCGGCACAGCGGGCACTCGAAGCGGCCCGGGAAGTGCACGTGGTAGTGGTTGCGGATGTGCGTCACCACCTTGCCGCACAGCTTGCAGCGGTGCAGGTTCAGCGCGCCCGCCACGCGCTCGAACGTCAGGCGCATGTGCCAGCCCTTCGAGCCTGCAACCAGCCAGCCGTCACTCACGCAGCCACTCCGGCCGACAATGCCGCAGAGCCAACGCTCGAGAACTCGACTGCAGCAACACTTTGTCGCGCGCGGGTGCTATGCGCTTACAATTGACTCGGATACCTCTTATTCATAAACACTGGTCGCGCAACGAAAGTTGAGGCGATCACTTACTCGCACTGATGTAATATTTCAATAAAGAACACAAAAATCTGTCAGAAACAAATCTTTGATAGATCGCCTCAATTCTTGCTGCGCGACCTATAAACGGCTAACGGTGTTTTAGCGAAAAATGCCTTGTCACTGTTCACGTCAGTGTGTTGAAAAAAGACAAATAGTGGTTGAGATATAATCAGAATCAGGTTAATCACTTGCGAGAATCGCTACGCAATTTAGGGCAGATTTTTCAATCAGATAACTTTTAACTAAAGAATACGTTTGGCACATTAACAATTTCAGTATGGAAAATATGTCAAAATGACAAGTTTATTCTTTAGTTAAAAGATATCTGACGATTGAAAATTAGCGCTTAGAGGGATTGTCCTTAAATACATTTAAACTGTTTAAGTTTTCATGAATAAGAGGGCTAGATACATATCGTTATAATTTTAAAATGAATAAAAATATCTCATTTCATACAGAATTGAGCAATTTTCTTCTAAAATCCGTACAAACAGTTGCCTCAAATGCAATATTTTAAGGGAAAAGAAAGTTTTGTTGCAGTCGTGTTCATAGAGCTTACTCGAACTTATATTACTGTTTAACATTTGGTGTTATAATAACAAACAACAATATCGAAGATACCATCGGCTGGATCTGCAGCATTTGTCATAAGTGCGAGAACGAAAGGTTAGATACATTTTTGACAAGTGTTGTATTAAACTATTTTATAAAATTCAGCAAACAAGGCTCGACTCAGACAATTCAAATTGGCACTATTAAAAGCGTTCATATTGTTAACGCTGTACTATTTACGCTTCTCCTAGCTCTATTAGATAAAAGCATTAAAAATGAATACAAAGGTTTAAGAAATCAAACGGAAAAAATAAATTATTTGTAAAATAATTGTACATAATATTCAATGGTAGATCCATGCAGAAATGAATCAATGATAACTTGAAGAAATGGTGTTTGTTATTGTCAGTGTTATCCGCATGACATTGTTAAGTACTGTCACCAAGCCTGCATACAGAAGGCGATTCATAGAGATATAGGTCTGCTATACATATAAGAAAGCATGGATACAGGATGAAAATGAAAAGAAAAGTGGTATAAATAAAGGAATATATTTGCAACAAACACACAGTAACGAGAAATTTACAATACAAATCATAAGTTGAAGTAAAATTAAATGAGAATAAATTAGAATTAGTGTTCCTTAATTACACAAGCAAAATCAGTCTTAAACACTAGCTCGGAACTAGTGCCAATTTATTATTACAAACTACAAGGAACAACAAGAGATCATAGTTAACGTTTGTATAACACGTAATTTGGTTTCTTCTATGGCAGTTTCAAAGTCGTCGACTGATCAGCGTCTTTTAAAACAAACTAATTATGGCAAGTAAATTAAAAATATTATTATGTAAACTAAAATTACTTGTTAAAATTAATAAGAAAATAACTGGTCTTCATTGTCCATAAATGGGATGATTGAAATAAATAACACCAATTAAATAAAACATGTTTCAGTAAATTGTTATTTACCTTGCAACATGATATGATAACCATCCCGAATGGTAACTTTCTTCTTACCAAATAAGGGCTTAAGGTTCTCTTCGACGCTGATTAGTCGAGATCTAATGCATATTAATTTACAGCTGATAGTAGATACCTAATATCACAAAGTATACCGTTAACTCTATGCATGATTCGGTACCTATTTATAAATATTACTTACATACATAGTTTTATTAACATTATCAAGAGGAAGAGTTGTTATTATTAATAAAATAAAAGCGAACGTCTAAAGAGACGCGAATCTTATAATAAAATCAATTCGGACACAACAGAATTAAATTAGACCTTCGCTTTTACTCAATAATGAGAATGAGTATTTCAATAGGTCTACGTTGAAATTTTATCAATACTAATCACACCACACCTTATTGTCTAGTTACAAAACGTTTTGTTAGAACCAATGGATAAGCGCACTTTGTTAGATCACCTTAGCAGAATGTTAGTTAACGTTATAGTGTTAATAAGAGAAGCTTGGCTACTATTAGACATTAAATTCATGAATTTGTACGTTATCTAAAATTACTACCGCGTGTTAATCTCATAATAGGTTTGCAATTTCATAAGCAACAAAATCGTTTCATCTTCATAAGCATAACAAAACAGCCACTGAACCCTAAATTATACTATTAACTACTTCATTAACATTGGGTTTGTATATTAGACAAGTTACTGGACTGTAAGACATTACAATGTTTCATACGGAGATGCCTCTTGAGATTGTCGGCACGAGTGAGTATGATCGGACACAGTGGACATTTGTGTTGCTCCGGGTTATGAGATTTCATATGTTTTTTTATGTTATTCACTAATTTACCGCATACGCAACACGACTCGGGAACTGTATACGGTTTATTGTTCAGAGCCATTTTGAACGATTTAACTATGTTATCGAGATTCATTAGTTTATTTTTCAGGGATTCCTGTGGTATACTATTCTCATCAACGCCGTTATTCTCACCTGAAAGACATGTAATTGTTTCATTTGTGTTGTCGCAACTGTTTGGCATGCTTATCTCTGACTATCACACAATTCACAAATCCGCAAACCTCTGGCCAATGTAATTAGCGTCCTAACCTCGAAACCCATTTCCATAACTTACATGCACCTTAGTTTTTAAGAACCATGGTTAATCGTAGAATAAGAAGTTTCTAGAATAAGAAGACTAGCTTGGTTACGGTGGATATTATTGATCGATTGAATATGTTGTTTTGAAAAATATCAATAAATCATAACCACTGCATGACCTATGTCCCTCGGGGGGCGCCAAATCATCGTTAGAATATGTACACCGATTTCTTCACAAGAATAATAAAATTTTGAAGCGTACAAAGAATTTGAAAAGCTTTAATGGAATGGAACAGTGCAAATTATACGGAATGTCAAGCAACTAGTGGGTCATGCTGCAGGGTGCTAACATGCTTCTAGTAGTGTTATGGACTTCAAAATACATAAAATATCTCTTTGAATTGAAATATTTTTTGTTGTTCCTAGATATTTTTTGCATTTTAAATTGTTACGCAATAGAGTTATTGATATAAATGAAGAAAAAGGGTTCCCTTTATGCTAGCAAATTATTATTAATTTATTTATGGCTCGACCCTTCTTCTTAATTAACACTCAATTCAGACACATACGTTAAAAAATAAAGATCTTTGAAATTTTTGCTCATTAAATTAAAAAAATGACAATAGTATGTCAGAGACTATGGAATTTGATGTAAATAAATATATTGTTTTCAAAGTATCTTTATATTTTTGGCGACCGTCAGGCAACTATTAACTCTGTTCAATTTTAACCTCGAAATAATAATTTGCATCACGTTGAGCACGTGTTAGCTTTTCAAATTAATATCTCTCAATACAGAAACGTGATTTAAGGAATGGTTCATTATGAGGGGTGTTGTGTCAAAGTTGACAGTTGCCGGGTAGGGGGAAACGGGCAAAAACTCACCGTCTATGGTGTCAGTCTGGTCCGGGTGTGGTTGAAGCATGGGCTCGCTCTCGTTGCACTCGTTGTTCAGCGAGCCCTGGGTCAGCATAGTCGCCATGTCCGTCACTGCCATCCCCTGGAAATTTCGTTAGCTAGTTGAAAATACATTTATTTTTTTGGTGAACTTCTTCAGAGGGCTGAGTGTGAGTTTTTTTCAAATGACATTAAATGTATGACGGATTGTACAGCGCCCTTAGCGGGAAACTTTCAAAAACTAATATTTTCATACATTTTTTAAACGCGCTCACTAGTGAGCGCGTTTGATGTAGACTCACACAGCCCACAGGTATTTAAAAGTCTATTTGCAGAAAATAAATGACTTTTGAATATAGTTGAACGATTCTGAAACGTCAAGTGGCAAAAATCAGAACTATAGATGACCTACACTTAACTGTCCCACCAAACTCATTGACAGGGGCGCCACCATCGTTTACATAGTTTCCTACATGGCAAAAATCGAAACCAGCAATCCGGAATTGACGGTGGCGTCTGTCAATGTCACGGGTGGGACAGTTTAGTGTAATGGGTCTATAATAACCCAGTATTGATAGTAGCGCCCTCCTGACAATGTCATAGCTGGGACTGTTCAGTGTTGGACAACTATGTGTACATGTTTTGGTAAGCTATAAATGTTTGAGTTAAAAGTGGGTTCATCACAATACTGTCTACTGGGTGGCTGGGTGATTTTTAGCTGAACCCAAATTGCCAAACTTCTCCAACCAGAAAAATAAAGGAAACCCCCAATATTTACAACATTTTTATTTTACGTTATAAAATCAAACATATTATATTCATGACAGTTACGTATATTAATCCAATTGATTTTCTGACAATTTTATTATTGAAAATCTATCCTAGGTATTTTAATTCTAATGAGAGAATAAGTTCTTCATTAACGGTTAAACGTTTTCGTTAAATAAATCAGACAATTAATAGTGGTTCCTATAATATAGGAACATCATCAACATCATATTGTGAGATATAGACCAATAAAAGTGAAATGCATAAATAGATTTTACTCAAGGAATGAAAATGAAATAGAGCTATGAGCATTGTTTTAGAATACAAGTCATATACGATTAAATTTAGATCTCATTTTGTAATTAGGCAGTGACTATTACATAAATATTTTGACAGTTGTTTATTTGTAAGCAGATTAGTTTTTTTATTAATAAATAAAATAATAAAGTGATCACAAAATGACGTTAATGATATCTATTAATTTATTAAATGTATGTTCCAATTTATAATACATTTATAATTTAATCTACAAGCACGTGGATTGCACAGAGAAAACAAATTGTCTAATCATTTAGTTTTACTAATGTTGATGAATTATATTATTAACTAAATGATGATGTAATAATGTGCTACTGATTTTAAAATAACAATCAATAATTTTGTGTCAGTAGTATTTTAGGTAGTACTTATTTATCGCAAATTTACAATTAACAATGAAATATAGAACTTAAAGATATTATACAATAGTTATTTTTATCACAGCTTCTGTTTATAAAATGTCAAAGTTATTTACATATAGGCGCACATAACCGCTGACCCTTGCGATTTATCACTTCTAGTATGAATAAATAATACTGATCAAACGGCAAAATCTAAAAAAAAAAGAAATGGGCTAGTTTGCCTTAGTAAGTACATCCACTTGAGGCTAGTTAAGTGTAACGTGAACATGCTTAAAAGCTGCTCGCGAGAATAAATTATTTACACAATGTTTGACAATTTCTAAGTTTTCAGTATTCTGAATTTTATGATCAATCAAAGAAGAAAAAGATAATGTTGCTGTTTATTGCCTTAATAAATTAAATAAAATAAAAGAGAGATTAAGTTGCTTTTTCAGCTAACTAAGTAAGAAATAAATAAAAATAACATTAAAGGAGTTTCCAATGAAATAAACAAAATACTTATTAAACAATATTGTTTTTTTTAACAAATGAAATTTCATGTTTCGTTGCTTGACTCTTCTTTAGAATTCTGAGAGAGTTCTCTTTCTCTACAAAACTTGTGAGCTTTGCATTTATCGTGGTGATTCACAATTTCCATTCTAAAGTTGGCGTTGCCTTCAACGAACGATGTCCTTTTGACTGTGAGTTCGTGCGACCATTTTCTACAGTAGATACAGAACATGATGTTTCGGGTCTTGTCATATTGCAGCCAGGGGTATAGGGTGAGCCATCGGGAGCGAAATCGGCCGGATTTTTTTGTTGTGTTGGGTTTTGGTGGGGGCTGGAAGCTACACGGTTGAGGCGGCTGGGTCAGCATCTTTGCTAGGACTGTACTATGAGTGCGATGACCAGAGAAATCCAACGGACAGCTGTCAACCATCGCGAAGACATCCTTTTTTTGAGTCATGGGCGCCGCGTGCACACTCTGTCAAGAGAAGGAAAGGATCTGCTTATTATGATATGAGATTTTGAACTAATTTCTCTAATCAGGCAGATCCATTCCTTCCCGTTGACAGAACATTTGTGTAGTAGTGTGTAAATAAAAAGGATACACAAGGAAAATTACAGGGAGTCAAGAAAAGAAAGAAAGAGATCACCCTAATTAAAGTTATTAAACAGGGTAGTTTGAAAAGAAATAGAGCTGTGTTTCTAATTTAAAGTAACTTTGCTACCTTAATATTTTGTCCTAAGGGCTAAAAACGTTGATGGATTAAATTACAAATCCTTCCAAAATTGGGTTTTGTAAATCTCCTGGATTTTCTAAAATACCTCGAATATACTACAAACGATGATAGTTAATTTTGTGTACCTACATGATAAATATTTAAATTAATGTATGAGAGTTTGTACAAAGCCTTTAACCACGCGGAAATCACAATATTCAAGCATTTTTTGTGTTTCTTCGTTCGTCGAAACAGAATTTTTTTTGAAGGTTATAGGTACCTAAATAAAAAAATATGCATGTTTACTCCATCGTACTAAAAGTTACAAAGAAATAAACATCTAGAATATTTTTTGTTGCAAAGCAAGGCAGCAAGTTAAAAAATGAAAATTTGTTAAGTTCAAATTATATATTTTCATTATTTTAGTAAATTAAAAGAAACGTGGATTGTCTTTTGTATTAAAAAAAATGTAAATTAAAAAAATATCAACATATATTTTTATGGAATGACACGATGATGGATTTTTTGCGTTAATTCTGAAAACTGTGTACATATTATTTAGTGGTGTTTATCAACTAGGAAAGGGATCGACACCGTATCTCCTTTCGTGAACTGTCATCGCCTTGCGCTTCGCGCGCTGTCAAGCGTGCGTGTGCGTTGGAGTATGGAGTTTCATTCAAAGAATACTGACCGCCTCGAGTTGATACGGTTACGATCCCTGATAAGACAGTGTGCTTCGTCTAAATGCGCACGCGTGTCGAAGCCCGCATCACAAACAAAAGGCCCTAAGTAAAAGTTCTTTAATGGGGATGTTGCCTGGGTCAAAAAGCAAGAGTTTTAATTAGTCCGTCAGTTAACTTATCAAAAAAATACTCTACACGTATTTTTCACTTTTTCAAACTAATGAAAATTTAAAGAGATAAAGCGCCCCAAAGTTCATAAGAAGAGGCCCGTGACGTCAACGCTTGCTTAAAAATGCCGCACGTTGTGACGTCGTGCGCAACTTCAACGCACCATAACTATGTAATTATTTGTTAGATTGACAAATAAAAATATATGTATCCAATAGTTTTTGATATTAAACATTACGGACTAAAAAAATTTTTTTAGGCAACTAGCCTATTATTGTCACTTACCGTGAGGTGGGTCTGGTCGAACGGCGGCGGGGGGTGCGGCGCGGGGTGGTGGGGCAGCGCGTGCGCGGCGAGCGGCGCGTGCGCCGGCTGCGGCGGCGCCGGGTACGCGTCCGGCTCCTGCTTCACGTGCGGCGTGTGCGCCGGCGAGCGCGGCGTCAGGCGCGGCGTGTGCGCCGGCGGCGGTGTCGACGGCTCGGAACCGGAGCCGGTCGACCCGCCCTTCACTTTTAGGTGCCCCTGCTGTAGGAATTGCGTAGTTGATAACCAATAATTCCAAGAAATAACTAAAAAAGTGTATTCTAACCCTGAAAACCGGGTCACTTTTCAATTTGCTGCTAAATTCGACTTTAAGTACATAGTTATAATGCCGCGATAATAGTCTAGAGTTGGCTTAAGAGCGCGGGCACGCGTCCGGCTCCTGCTTCACGTGCGGCGTGTGCGCCGGCGAGCGCGGCGTCAGGCGCGGCGTGTGCGCCGGCGGCGGCGTCGACGGCTCGGAACCGGAGCCGGTTGACCCGCCCTTCACTTTTAGGTGCCCCTGCTGTAGGAATTATGTAGTTGATAACCAACAATTCCAAGAATATCTAAAGTGTATTCTAGCCCTGAAAACCGGGTCACTTTTCAATTTGCTGCAAAATTCGACTTGGTACATAGCTGCGAACTCGGTAAGTAGTTATAATGCCGCGATAATAGTCTAGAGTTGGCATAAGAGCGCGGGTACGCGTCCGGCTCCTGCTTCACGTGCGGCGTGTGCGCCGGCGGCGGCGTCGACGGCTCGGATCTAGAGCCGGTTGAACCGCCCTTTAATTTTAAGTGCCCCTGCTGTAGGAATTACTACCATAAACCAACAATATTCCAATACATTGAAAAATCGCTCGTTCTAACCCTGAAAATAAGGTTCATCATCAATTTGCTGCAAAATTCGACTGCAAAAGCTGGTGGAGCCGCCCTTAACTTTTAGGTGCCCTTGCTGTATGAATTGCCACCATAAACGAATAATTCCAAGACGTATCTTAAGATTATATCCTAGCCCTGAAAACCGAGGTAGTTTTCAATTTTCTATAAATGAACTTAATAAATAACTAGTCTTTAGAGTTGGCGAAAATTGGCGGAAACGCGTGCGGCTTCTGCTTCACAAGCGGTGTGGACGGTTCCGAGTCGGAACCGGTGGAGCCGCCCTTCACTTTTGGATGCCCTGACTGCTGTTTGACGGAATTGTTTGTTGATTAATGAAATTGGCACTTCTGATTTCTTTGAACCGTCCCCTTCACTTTTAAATGCCACATCTTACAATCTTTATCACCAGGTCATTTAGTATCCACTCCAGGATCATGCCCTCTTGTCTTTCATGCTGCTGGACGGGTGCTATTACTGTACCTACCGTTTTAAATGAAATGTAATAATTTCCAAAATAGTGAAGAGAGAGAATATTATATCATAGTAGATGTGGTGCATGTTTCCGGATGTATCTCGACTCTTAAATTGTTTATCAAAACAACTTTGCCCTATTTACCCTTCTCCTGATCACCTGACGTCATGAAGTATGAACAACAAAAAGATAAAGTACTGTACAAAAATAACGAGGTAGGTGAAAACACACTCATGTAGGAGTGGGCTTCATTAAGATTAATAATAATCTTAACGACAAAAGTCATCCAGTCCATTAAAGTAGTAACAAAACAAACCAATAAAGTGTATCACTGAGCAAAGGTCTCTCTTCTACCTGATCTGTTTGGCCCTATATTAACTTTAATCAGTTGTATAACACAATTTTATTATAAATCACCGTTTTGTTACTCTAATAAATTTTATTCTACTCGTTGGTCCCATAAAAGCTGCAGCATTTTAAGCACTAGAATCATTAGATCCTGTCCGATCCTAGAGATTTCCTATCAAAATTAAATGAATTGAATCGTTCGTTCGTTTCAGTCAAATGACGTCCACTGCTGGACAAAGGCCTCCTTCAAGGATTTCTATAACGACCGGTCCTGCGCTGTCCACATCTAGGTCTTCCAGCGACCTTCACCAGATCGTCGATCCATCTAATGGGAGGCCTGCCCACGCTACGTCTTCCGGCCCGTGGTCGCCACTCGAGAACTTTTCTAAGAAATAAAGGATAGTGCCAGGGTCTGGACCAAGTGTTGCCCAGAATCAACCCATAGTGCATTTTGTTCCTCAGGCAATACTAATGTGCAAACCAAAGCGCACTGAAATCTATCCCAGGAGTTAAGAGAAAAAAAGAGTTTTGTTTTGATTAATTTACATACAAAATATCATCGTATATCGTCATGTATACGTACTACGCATCAGATTTCGCGATTGTGGCATTAAATAATACTCCCTATGTTGAACTTAACCATACTGCATCCGTACACGTTACTTTAGTGCGATTTCGACATTCTTTATAAACGATCTAGCGCTGTTTAAATTGTTTGGTAAGTTGACAGAAATTCATTATTTCCAAAAGGCCTGAGGAACAAAATTCACTATTGTTTCATTCTGGGCAGCACTTTGTCCAACTTCCATACATGGATTGGCACTGTCCTTTAATAACACAAAACATTCACGTACCTCATAATGCCTGTACGACAGGTCGAACTCGTCCCTGGGTACGGCCGAGTTCTTCCTGCGTCTCTTCCCGCCACTCGAGAACTTTTCTGGAAAATTTAATAACCAAAACATTCACGTACCTCATAGTGCCTGTACGACAGATCGAACTCGTCCCTGGGTACGGCCGAGTTCTTCCTGCATCTCTTCCCGCCACTCGAGAACTTTTCTGGAAAAAATAACCAAAACATTCACGTACCTCATAGTGCCTGTACGACAGGTCGAACTCGTCCCTGGGTACGGCCGAGTTCTTCCTGCGTCTCTTCCCGCCACTCGAGAACTTTTCTGGAAAAAATAACCAAAACATTCACGTACCTCATAGTGCCTGTACGACAGGTCGAACTCGTCCCTGGGTACGGCCAAGTTCTTCCTGCGTCTCTTCCCGCCACTCGAGAACTTTTCTGGAAAAAATAACCTAAACATTCACGTACCTCATAGTGCCTGTACGACAGGTCGAACTCGTCCCTGGGTACGGCCGAGTTCTTCCTGCGTCTCTTCTCCGGGGGCAAGTGGGGCGGGTGCTGCGCCGGCGCCGCGGGCAGCGGGGTGAGGGCCGCGGGGGGCGCGCAGTGCGCCGCGGGCGGCGTCGCGAACGACTCCGTGCGGGACGAGAGGTTCTCGGCGCTCACTGACGGCGTTGAACGCTCCTCGGACTGTGGGCAAGTGTTCATGACGTTGATGGATAAATTGTATTTTTGAAAGGGAAACTAAAGGGACATAGTTAATGGGCGGCTAATAGGAAAAGCAGGCCGCAGGTGTCACAGATCACTCCGTATGGGAGGAGATATTTTCGCGCTTACTGACGGCGTTGAACGCTCCTCGGACTGTGGGCAACATTGTTCATGACGTTGATGATTAAGCTAAATGGGCAGTGTTATATGTGGCACAGTGCGCCGCGGGGGGCGTCACGAATGACTCCGTGCGGGAGGATAAGTTCTCAGCGCTCACTGACGGCGTTGTACGCTCCTCGGACTGTGGGCAAGTGTTCATGGCGTTGATAGATAAGTTAGGCCTCGTTCTCACTATGTCGGACTGGCAGATTTGTCGGAAACCGGTCGCCGGACAGTGTTCACATTACGCCGGATGCCGTAAGAAAATAGGACAGTTAACAAGTCTACTTTTATAAAAAAAAATGCGAGCCGAATGACGCGAGGGGAGCACGGGCGGGGCGGGCGGGGGACCGATGCCGGACAAACTCGTTCACACTACTTCGGTCCGGTGATTCTGCCGGAACTTCGCAGTGACAAAACGCTCGACAAAAATGCCGGATCCGGGATATAACGGAATGTGAACAGCTTCATATAAATTGTACAGCCACCAGCCCTTCCGGGAGTTTTACCGGTCCGGCGTAGTGAAAACCGGGCCTTATTGATAGTAATAATGATCAAAAGAAGAGTGCGTGTCGCTTAAGGATTATTGTTATTGTTATTGAGAGGGCTAATGGGGCCAACGAGGGCGTCGCGAACGACTTCGAGGACTACGAGGAGAGGTTCTAGGGGTTCACTGATAGCGTTGAACGCTCTTCGGACTGTGAGCAACACCAAGTACATATTTTATATGATGATGATGAATTAAGGGCAAGATGTTGTGGGGACTTTAATTGCCGCAGTGAGTGGTACTAGTACGACTCCGTCCGAATGGAGCGTTGTTCGATACTCGCAGAGCTGAATCTCGTCTCGACTGTACTAAACACATATTTTCTGACAGCATAGAATAAATAAATTGTTGCTAAAAAGGGCCATCAGTTTAAGCATATAATGCCAAGTCACCGGCTCATGATCACTATCAGAAACAGATTGTTCTATAGAGTTCAAGCTGTACGCTAGCAACAAGCTGCTTGGCGTTTGGCATTCTACGATGGTACTGGCTTGCCAGTCGAAGCAATGAAACCACTTTACATATCTCAAAATTAAGTGGACACCTTCCTTCAACACTTAATACTGATACCACTGCCTAGTACTATGTAATAACGATGACCCACTATTATTCTCAAGGTGAAAACAAGGACGACTATCAACATAACGGATTTGAATAACATTTGAGATACAGACTGGAACACACTTCTTATTCTGATAAAATACATGGTTCCTAAACGACATGTCGTAAATTATGTATTTCTGGAATAGTCGAAATTCCATGTCGACATAGCCGGGTGGTCAAGGCGTGACATTGAAATAATCGAAGCAATAAAATTATTTAGGTACTTTAAATTATGGAATTTACATCTTCAACGGCAGTTATATCGTATCAATTAATTGTGCAGGGTCACTGGGCGAATGTCACTAAAAGTTCAAGGTAACCAGCTTAAAATTAGACAAAGGACTGCACCTGTGGTTATATCTAGGCTTTGGCATTGATTAAAATTAAAAAATCCATAATGCCGTTAAAATAAAAAGGTGCATAGTATACATAAAATGCAAATATTATATTCATATTACCTTAGGATTCAATGTATTATTTTCTGTCAAACCTCTAACTTGTAAACTTTCAGCAGTTTTTAGGAACATCGGTAGCATATTTTGGCCAACATTCACCTCACCCTGGAAAAGAGATTAAAATAAAGAATACATCACATTTAAATTATTAATTTAAATATTGAAGTTTTTATCGTACACATACCTTATACATGAAATCCAATAATGATTTCATCTCTGATAATCTGACATCTTTCAGGAATATTATCGGGTGTGGATGTGAGTTTTGCAGGAATATAGTTTCAAAATATGGAGAACAGGCCGAGAGTATTGTTTGATGTGCCTAAAACAATAAAACACATAAAATTTAACTTAAATAAGTCGTTATTGCCAACCATTCCGTTTCGGAGGTTTGAAGGTCTTTTCAATATGTGTACATTACATTGAAATAGTGCATAACTACCATTTTGGCATTACCATTTTTTATTGTTATTATAATAAGGTTGAAGCAGCTTTTCACGAATAGGTATTTACTAGGCTATTGAGGGTTTTGTTAAAATCCGTTTATGTTTTAAAATATTACTAAGATGACGACCAGTTTTCTTATACGGGATCACGCAAATATTGCGTCATACGATGATACGAATACGAAAATCGAAGATAAGTTGGGCTTTCACTTGTCTAGTCTAATAATGTGATGGAAGTCAATCCTAAGGTGTATGATTGAAAATTGATGATAATACTGCAATAACAATAGACGAAATGACAGAGCCTTAAGATTGCACTGTCGTTTCGGTACTTGAGCGTAAATATATTAATTAGGGCTTATTTGGAGAAGTCCCATACTCATTGATCGAGGCGATATCAGATACATTTGCGCAGGCAAAAAACGACCAATTTAGTGCCTTGAAAGAGTTTGGCACAGCGTCATCGCACGATTTAAAATTGAATGATAACAAGTCGGCTAGTATTTAGTTTTGTACTTCTTACATGTTAGCTTCGTGAATTTAGTATTTTTTGCAGATGCTAAATTTCTCGAAACGTATACAGCGCGTGTAAGTAAACTGGTATTACCTACATAGTAACTAACGCAAAATTTGTACCTGGTATTGTAATAAATTCATTGTATAATGCATGTGACTTAGTAGTAAAAATTGAATATTAGATAACGCATGTCAAATTATGTAAAATAACCGAATACTATGTAAAATAAGTTTACATCTAGAAGTAACAGATACTTTTAATAATAAACTAATTAGTAATTAAGCATAAATAACTAATTATAGCGCATATATTATGGTATTCTGACGTTTAAAGTAAACTTAACATTGTCAAGTGTTATCGAAATCCATCCAGCTTATTGCGTTGACAGAGTATCAAATCCGTCCTCTCATCTCGCGCGTTTTTACGAGTAGGTGTAATATTAGTCAAAATCTATTGAACATATTTTCAAGCGTATAATCAATAGAGTGATGAGTTTTAGGTATATCATTTGTAAGAAGAAATACACAGGATAGTTTTAATCCCGAGTTTTAAAGGGGGACGCGCGCAATAAAATATTTCTTTGACAGGCCGATATTTACGCGGGCGAAGCTGCTTGCAACAGCTAGAAGTTACGAGTTTCGAAAAAGTCGTCGTTCGAAAAAACAGGCCGTGTATCCAAACGACGATATACAATATTATGATACTTAAAGTATTTTGTTTAGTCCTATTTGTACCTACAACATACCTACAATATTTTCGTAGATTCGTTAGTCTCTAAAAGCTATAAGATCATAAAATATAATATTCAAATACATCAACTTTCTTGGTCAAAAATAGAAACGTACGCGTATCTATTAGTCGATTCAAACTGGACATTTTATATATTCAACGGTCTAGTCTAGACCCTAAAACTTGCCAAACTACTGCCATAAAAATTAGAAAGTTAGACAACATGCAGCTCTTCTGTAGACTCCTTTCAACCTACCAAACAAATTGCATTTTATTAGCATAAAACTTTAACTTTCATAATTGTTGAATTTAAATGGCATAAAGGAAGTGGCCGGCCAGAGGTGTTATTGACCTTTAAGTTTTAAAACTGTACAATGTACGGTGCACATATTAACGATAAGGGATAAGACTGCAATTTGTGTAGTTTCTGTAGTAGAACATCTACTTAATCTGATACTGACAACTAGTACTAAGTACCTACCTATGTGAAAAAGAGCTTAAAAAATTGATATTATTCATTTACAACTTCCATAAAGCCTAGAACAATATCCTACTCAAAAAGTGTCAAAAACTATGTTTTAATATGAATAAGACACTAATATATTTTAAAATATTACAACTAGGCTAAGACTAACCTTGAAAAAATTAGCAAATATTTAAATATCTATAATGGTAATTACCTTGGAGTGATAGCCAGTAAAGTAACGAACTTGACGGCAATTAAGATTAAATATGCCTACTACGCATTTTGAAAACCCTCAATATTTCAGTACAAAAATATTTCATAAATTATCGTAAGTAGTATATTAGGTATAAGATTTGAGAAGTCCGCGACTTAGTGCGTACGCGTGAAAATAACTTTTTTTTTTCGTTTTCATAACATTTTTCATTGACGCTCTCCTCCTATTGGTCGTACGTAGCGTGATGGTATATCCTAAGCCTTCCTCGATAAACGGGCTATAGAACATTTTTTTAAAACCGGATCAGTAGTTCGTGCGATTAGCACAAAGAAGAAAAAAAACAAAGGTTTCTAGGTAATGTGATGGTTGTTGTAGTATGGCTAATGTTGGCGTAATCAATTTTTCGCGGACTAAGTAAAAGGTACACAGGTAGTAAATGGTAAATTAATGACATATCAAGTTTAAATAGATATAACTTTGGAAAAATGAGAATTTAATCATATATCCTTGAAGTAATTCTAGTAGCCTTCTATTAAAATAATTAAAAAATAAATAAAGTGGTGCTTGTTGCAAATATTTTGATGATGATCATTTGATGTAGTAAATACTCTGTCTTAATGGATGGATAGGGTACAAGAGTAGTGCTCTTAAAATTTCGAATATTAATATTGGTTTATAATAATTTATTATTATGTTGGCTCTAGATTATACTAAGCAAGCATGTAAACTAAATAGTGCATCTTAGAGAATGGATGGAGTATTAGAGTAATATAGTATTAATAGCTGTGTGACACTAAATTAATTTTGATAATTAATTACTATCAATTAATGTTGTGATGAAGAGTAGGGGTTGGTGACAAATGTATTCTACTCTGCCGTCACCACACGGCGTAAGAGGCGACTTAGGGACTACACAACAAACAGAGAATGGGCAGCAGCGCTCTCTGAAAAAACATCAATCTTTTAAACTGCGATCTCCAACCCGCCTGCCAAGCGTGGAGATTATGGCAAATCCCTCCACCATAGTGGAGGAGGCTCATAGTCCAGCAGTGGACTGTAAAGGGCTGTTGATGATGATGATGAATGTTGTGATGGCACTAGATTTTAATCAAGTATATTTACAAGACAATAAGTTATAAATAAATTCACAATTTTAATCACTCAATCCCAACTAATATTATAAATGCGAAAGTAACTCTGTCTGTCTGTCTGTCTGTCTGTTACGCTTTCCCGCTTAAACCTCGCAACCGATTTTGATGAAATTTGGCATAGAGATAGTTTGAGTCCCGGGAAAGAACATAGGATAGTTTTTATCCCGGTTTTTGAAACAGGGACGCGCGCGATAAAGTTTTTCTGTGACAGACAAAATTCCACGCGGGCGAAGCCGCGGGCGGAAAGCTAGTATTATATTAAATTGTTCTTCAAATACATTTATTATTACTTGTAATACCTATTATGTTTATTTTATAATAATCAAAGTATTCTACATTAACTATTTCTATCACACTGAAGTATTATGTGACAAGGTTTAAACAAATAGGTATTCAATTGAACAAAATTGTACATATTAAGAGCAGAATTGCACATATTTAGACATATTTTGATAATGAACTGGTACAGGAAAATATAAATAAGCATAACTTATGGCTAAAATATTGCAACCTGTGTTTTTGCATGTTTAGCCTTCTTATAAAAATAATTTAATTTTGTACCTACGTTTAGGGAAAAAATTCCCTTATCGTTTATTTATTAAAGATCTAAGAGATTACTACGCTTTACAATGGATGACTCTACATCTGCAAAATTGATTAATTAGGTGATAATTATTAAAAATTACTTTTAACAGAGTAATAAAGTAATATAAAAAAAAAACAGGTAAATAAAATCTTTCAACTGTTCAAACATTTTAAAATCAAGAGTTAGATACTGCTTTAAAATTTTAGCATTGTAACTTAAAAAGATATTGCATGCCAAGCAAATATATGAGGAAATATTGTTTTTAAAGTGAGAATTAAATCCAATAATGATCCAAGTTTTTATTTATTGTTGATGATAATCGTTAATTAATTTAGAAAAATCAATTTGATAATAATGCATTGTATTCAAAATTATGTATAATGCTATAACATGACATAATGTATCATTGCATTACTAATGAATGTTTACTATTGAATGCAATTTGTTTATTTAGTAAATAGTTGAATGACTTGGCCAACAATGCATTGTTTATATACATTTCCATCAAATAAAACAATTTGCAATTACATGAAATTACATATTAACAGTTACAAAATAAGTTTTATAATGTTTCTGTTTGAGTAAATTGTAACTGTTTTACAATTTGCTTGGATAATCAATGTTTATACCCAAGTACAGTTAGTATTCTAAGAGAAGCTGTGTCTATGAGCTAGATGCATGGAACAAAATAAGGGCACTCACCTTGACTGTTTCTCCATCACAGGCCAGCGTGACATCGCAGAGTGCCTCTCTTTGTAGCAGGCTCGCTAGCACATCTGTCAGATTGTTAGGGTGGTTGTTCCAGCGCAAACAAAATTGCTGGTCCATTGTAGGTGCTAGTGTCAGTGACCGTGCTGCAAATAATACCATACCTTTAGGACATCATTAAAGTTATGAACTTGACACCACGCAAGCACAATTAATTATTCAATAATATACCATAGGGTTAATTATGCAATAATTAAATGTAATGCAGAAATAAACCGAAAACAAACCCGAATTTACATCACTGCTTATTAAAGAACCGGTGATTAGAGGTGCGCCGGTTATCAAATTTACATTAAGATGTGCAAAAAATTGGCGGCCATAGGGCCTAGATAGGAGAGCGCAGAGATAAGTGACATCAGCGACTCGAATTAATGGGGGCCGCGGGCAGCGAGCTTACTGTACAACTGTACTCCACATTGACAGTTAGCCCGCCGACACATATCTACTTGTTGCATGCTCCAAACAAGACCCATACATTATGTAATTTAAATCCAGAAGACACACGGCGGGGCCACCGACCCTACGGGACGCGGAAACCTCTAGCCGCCTCTAATAAACGAGTTTAAAAAAGTAGTACCGCTCGCCAAAAAAATCGCAACATGCTGACACCGTTATAATCGCCAAGCTGGATGTCCCAGTTGCTAGGTCCACACGCGCGATTTCATGAATTTGTGAAGATGCACCACTATTTGTTGTAGAGCACGCCGCGTGCCTAGATTTTGGCGACCGAAGATATACGAGATAACTAAACGCGTAGTTGTGTCAACTTTGGCTATTCGTAGCGCCATTTGCCGATCCCGTATCACAGAATCTAAGAATTGTATTATCAATCAACACATTTTTTTTCTCTAAACACAATTATAATTCACCAACACAATTCCAATCTATTCCGAGACACGATAAGTCAATAATACCTAACTCACCATTTGCAAAAATTTTGCCATCACAAACGCCACCCGACCCCTACCTTGCACTGTCTTTTTGACCACACACACATCTCGATTTCCGTGTTCACTCACGGCCTTCGGAATATCTTTCACATCATAATTCGGCCAGTATTCGCAACGCGAACTTCACACGTTTCTCACTATGCGGCGGTAAATTCAAAATTTGCAATACATTTTTATCGCTTATCAACAAATATGTATTTAATTGATTGATTTCTTTCATAGAAGTTAATCAATAAGCTTTATACCTTTAATCTAGCTAAGCAGAAAGTAAGTACTTGCAAAGTTTTCGAAGATGTATTGTTTTTTGATAAAAGGGCTTAGAGGTTATAATGAATGCGGAAATGAACTTTGTTTTTTTTTTTCAACTTAATTGTAAGCTCCGGTTTATAAATTTGAGCCTTTATAATATCTTCATGTAAGTTTATTTTATTTTTTTATCTCAATCTAAATTAGATCAACCATTATTGAACGTTGGCCTTGACATTATTATCAATTTTTGCACATGCACAGACAAGTAGCGCCATCTCTGATAACCTTGTCTGGCATTCAACTATTTAGTTGCCAAGCCTTTTGAAAAGATGGCGCTACTAGTCATGAAATATTGTAAAAATAGGCGCTTTACTATAAACTTCACTTCAAGAGAACATTGACCTTATACCTACTTTAATTTATATTTTGATTGGGCGAATAAACTGATTAAAGATTGTTTTAAAAATTCCTCTTATTACGGAATATTTTATGAATCAAATTTTACAATAAATCAAACAACACGATTTTTTCTACACAGGATCTATTTTTATTAGTAAACAAACAACCCTTTGTTCCGTTTCCTTCTTTAATTTAATCGTTTAACCTAATCCCACCCTGTATAAACGCAATGTAACTCAATCCGTGAGAGCCATAAAAATAAAAAAATGGGAGTAAGGTTTAAAAAAAATATTTTATCCCAGTTCTTTCAGATTTGGCATCCATTTAATAATGTTATAGTTACAAATAAAGAGTCTGTGGCCTAATGGATAATGGATTACGATCTCGGGTTCACTGGAAATTGACTCAAAAAAAGAAAAAATAAGTAAGTAGGTAGCAGCGTTGCCAGACGTCCCGATTTTGGCGGGACGCGGACGTCCCGATTTTTAAATCAAATTTAGAAGTCCCGCGCGGGACAGGCTCGGTCCCGCTTTTCGGAGAGAGACACTCACTTCACCAGACTATTGTTTGAAACGTCATAATATTATTCTAAAGAATAAAACTTTTTTATTTTTTTATTCTAAAGACGAATTTAACGTAGAGTAAATCTGATTTAAAATATTATCTTTTTGTTAAAATACATTTTCTATGGCTACTTTTGCTATCTATTGTCACGTAAACGTAATTTTAAGTCAAATAAAAAGAAAAATATTTGAAAACCTTTCATTTATATGTATAGATGACCCACGCTGAACTGTCCCACCAAACTCAATGACAGGGGGGCGCTACCATCGTTCAACTATATGGTTTCCAACATGGCAAAAATCTGAAACAGCGATCCGGTATTGACGGTGGCGCCCCACTGTCAATGTCATCGACAGAACAGTCCAGTATTTTGGAACTATACACATTTTTTTACTACGTCTCGCTTCTGACGGAAGAATCCCGCCATTTTCTCTCAAAAAGTACCAAAGTCCCGACTTGGCGAAAAAAAAAAAAAACTGGCAACGCTGGTAGGTAGGTACTTTGTTTTACTTTCGCGGGCTTTCTAAATAACCCGTGAAAATGCGCTCACAATTTTATTTACATAAAAAATCGATAGAAAATATTATGTTTTTCAACAATCACTTATGGGTAAGCTACCTACCTTTAAATGATCTTTGCTATCACACTGACTTCCTGGCAGTTTTATTTCAAGACGATCATAATTTTATGTTATTTGTTAAAAAAAGGTTACGCCTCAGTTATAAAAATAAATAGGAAGTACTAAGTAATAATTTCTATTTTCTATAATAGGTAATTAAAGTTAATGTCGTGTTGTTGTGTATCTCAAATCGTATTATGGAATTTAATTAGTAAATGTAATAATTAAAATATTCTATGCATGTCACCTTTTTGAGTTCCTTGATCTCTCTACAAAGGTGTAACATATCTCGTCTCCATAAATCTTTCAATTTTATTATCCTTATTTTGTCGTGTCCATACATTGTGTATTATTTTTAATAAATGAGAAATAAATTATGGTAAACACAACATCTACCTATTCGTAATCATTTTTCAATTTCAGTAATACGCAGGTCGTCAGTAGTAAGAAGGACTTGAAATGGCTCAAACTTGGAGTGCAAGTGTGGTTTTGTTCCCCAGTCGACGAAGCACATGATGTCGTGCCCTGCGTCACCTGCGACACCTGCGTGCCCAAAAATCTGCACGCAGGAAGATTTAATGAAGGCTACTGACAACGCCTCTTGTGGCGGAGCTTTGGGCTGACACTGTGTAGGTGTCGCAGTCAGATTGTATAATCCGCCGTTTTACCACAGTATATATATGAGGTTTTACATTACAGCTAGGCATTTTGCATTACAGCTCTGTTTTGTAATACGGCGGATTAACGTTTAGCCGGATTGAATACGGCTGAATGAAAATCCGCCGGAATGTATTCGGCGCCAAACGTTCTTCAATACGGCTAGCCATAATGTAAAACAGCGTATCATTACCGCTTTGACAGTTTTTAGTTCCTATTTTCAATACCGTGGCTCTGCCGGACAAAGTGGCTATGGATTCTGGTGTTCGGCGGAATCCTACACAATATTGTTAGTGTAAAAATATGAAATCATGGCTGTGGCCGGTGAAGATAATTTTATCTTAAAGAAAAATAACCCAGAAAAAATGACTAAAACTTTATTGTTTTGAGTTACCTGTTCCCTTTGATCATTTTTAATGTCTCAAAAAGACTATAACAAATATCTAATTAATTCTTAAAATGTTTAGAAAAGTCTAATTGTTTTGAGTTACTTTTTTTTAGATGGCTATCCCTTGTGATTTATAAATAAGTAAAAAAAAAATACTGAAGCCAAATATATTATTTAATATACAGTAACGAAGGTAATAATTCTCAAAATCTGTCTTATTAAAATTTATTTTCATTAAACATTGTTTTATTTTGTAAGTATGGTCACCCTACAATCTATAGAAGTACGATGCGGCTAAACGTGGGCCGTCGTATTGAAGAACGTAATATCGCAATGACAATCCGCCTAAACGTTGAACCGCCGTATTACAAAACAGAGCTGTAATGTAAAATGCCTAGTGGTAATGTAAAACGGCGGATTATACAATCCGACTGCGACATAGGTTTGTTGTCGACACGACAAGAAGAATTTCAGTAGGTACCTACTTACCTATTAAATTATAATAATTTTCTGAATATCCAGTAAGTTTAGATAAATCGTGTAAGTTACCTATATAAATTTTTTTTTGTTAACAATAATATTTAAAGAATTATACTTAGCTTTTACTTGAACTTTAGGTAACAATATTTCCCAACACTCAACCTGCGACCGCGGCGATTCTGCTTTCGTTTTCACTTCACTGTGCCTATTGGCAGTGGCTAAGTGGCTCTAGCTACAAATTATTTTTGAAGTTTCACATATCCAAAGCAATACTTAACTGTTCTCAAATTTTATTGTATTCAAAACAGTCTTTGACTCACTTTTATTATTCTTTTGTGACGTAGTTTCTCACATGTAAATTCACAATTCACAAACACATAACAGGCAAAACTATTTTTGCCGGCATATGGACACCCGCTACAGCTTATGACTCAGGTAAACTGGCGTCTAACAAGACAAGTAGTCACCGCTATGTTAACTCCACCACTGAGAGTATTCGATACTAATTTTACCTACTTATATGCGCTTTGATTGACACCTAGGGATCACCTTTGAACGGACCAAACACTGAAACAAAAGGCTTGTACGAAAAACAAAGGGACGCCATCAAACACTGATGACATGTCTTGCGGCCCAAAAAGAATTTCATTGCCTCGTTTTGGTCAGAATAAAGTAATTTCAGAAAATCACTGAAATATCAGCCCAAGCAAGACGAACGCCCAAATTCGATAGTAACTTAAATTCTAGATGCTTCTATTTTGAAACTAAACAAATAGGGCTTGCAATTTCGGATAGTTTTCAACTCCGGAACTGATTTCCGATATTGGGCACTCAACTCCGGAATTCCGGTTCTAGTTCCGGAGTTGGTTAAAAAAAGAAAGCGCCTCCCGACAAACACGTACACGTATGTGGCCTCCACTTTAGAACCTTGCCCCATCGGCCGTCTGTTCTTACGTACTATGTGCCCTGCCCATCGCCACTTTAGCTTGGTAATCCGACGATCGCTATATGTCAGGCAACTTTAGTTCATTTACGAATCTCCTAATTTCTGGTTCGATCTCGAAAAGAAACACCGAGCATAGCACTCTCCATACCATGGTGTGCAACTTTGAGCTTATTATAAGACCTTATAGTAAGAGGCCACGTTTCCGAACCGTGTGTCATCACTACTGGTAACACACACTGATTGTAGACTTTCGTCTTTAGGCACTGAAGTGTTTTGGTCGAAAAGATGTTAGGTATGTAGTTTCCCGAACGCTGCCCAGCTGAGTTGAATTCGACGTATTATTACAGCTCGCTGCAAAAGAATCGCAGAGGAATCGCCCTCGTGTTCAGCCAGGCTCAAAGACTTTCTCATAGTCTAAGAACGCCAAGCATAATTATAGGCAAGTTAGACTCTTCGGTCTTCTGTAGGTANTATTCAAGCCCTATAAACAAACATAAGTAGTAGAAGCAAACCGATACGTCGATTCATTTAATCACTGGCTAGAACTTCTTTGCCAAAGGAAAACCATTTACCGCTGAGTCTACCCTGAAAATGCGATTGAAATGTACCAGAATTTGCCTAGTAACCTATGTTTACAACTGAAGTTTCAGTTCAGTGCCTAAAATCTAGACACAGCGGTGGACGTCTAGCTAATTATGAGCGTAGGCCGGTCATTGAACCTATAAATTTACAGATGGCCTTCCTTACATGTGGCGAGCATCTCACTAGCTAGATATTGGGGCACGAGTGTTCTAGACTTTTGTAGTCTATTCTCAGTAAATAAACAAGTATGCATATATTAAAAAGTATGGGTTTTCAGTAGGAAGTTAACAATGCAAGCAAGGTTGGCTAAATATTTCTATATTCAAAACATTAAAGAATCTTTTGAAAATCATGTTAATTTTCTTTAACA